CCCCCGGCCGCCCAGCCGCAGCCCGGGCTCAGTCAGCGCCGCCGCCGCCGTGAATATGGAGCCCCCGGGCACCCTCACTGGGCCCCGCCTGGCAGCGAGACTGCTGGTGCTCACGCTCCTGCTGGGAGCGCACCCAGGTATGGCTCAGGCTGAGAGCTGGGAGCGATCGGGACGGCCCTAGAGCTCCCGGGAAAGGAAGGGGAGGGGACTTTCGGCTACCCCGGGAAGCAAAACCTGGGGACCCCAGGAAGGTGGAATCAGGGTACTCCTTTCATGATGGACCTGCGGACAGCCTGGCATAGAGGCGGCGGATGCCATAACAGTGAATTAGACTACCTGAGAACTCAGCCCCTCCCCACTGGAGACCCAGAGTGTGGGTGCTTAAATCCTAGAATTTGGGTCCCCGGCTCCCTGCTCTCTCAAACCCAGGGGTCCAGGCCTCCTGTGGCTAGAGCAGCGCCCCTAAGGACCCAGAAGACAGAAACCCCCAAGGTCTCCTTTTGAAGGTTCTCAGGCTTGGGATTCTGTGGCCAGAAATCAGTCAGCCACATCCATGTGAGGTTGTCCCCAGCCTAGATGAGAGCCCAGACACTAAAAAGAGCCCGCCCCCATCAGGAAGGAGCTGGTGTGCTGGCGGGCAGCCGCTGTGCAGCAAAGTGTTTCTGAGTAACAGGGCCCCCTTCCCGGGCCCCTGGTAAGTCCACACACCTGTGTGGTGGTGGCAGGGGCAGAGGCCCTCCCTGCGTGCTGGCAGCAGAGGGACAGGGAGATGAGCGGGATCGGGGAAAGGAGAGCTCTCAGGGGCTGTCCTTGCTGCCTGCTGCTCAGCACTAGTCTGGTCCCCACACCCCTTCCCATGGGATAGCCTAGGCCAGAGGTGGGTGCCTGGGAACCCAGGCCCCTGGCACAAGCATGGCAAATAGTGGGCCCCCAGGGGCAGGGTTGGGCCAAGCTGGGCGGGGAAGAGAAGGGAGGTTCTAAGAACTGAAAGCTGAGGCCAGGATCCCAGCCCGGAGGGTAAGAGTGTGGTTTCCCCAATGAGAACAGCTCTATCTGCCAGGATCCTGGGATGCAGGAGAGGCTCCCACTAGCTCCCCAGGACCAGGAGTCCGACCCCCAGCTCCCTCCTCCCTCTGGACCAGGATTGGACCTCAGTCCTATCCTGTCCCAGGTGATGTACCTTACCCCTCCCTTGCCCTACCAGAGGCTGGGGGCTGAGGGGCAGGTTGGGGGCTCTGGCGCCAGGTGGGGCAGGTCTGAGCCAGCCTGTCCCTCCCACATTCCTGAAACCTGCCCAGCCCTGTCCCCCCTCACCGCCCCCACACACCCATCCTGCCTGGCTCCAGCTCCAGGCCCAGCCGCACCCTCCACCCAAGCCCCAGCCCCCCACTCATGAGGGAGAGCCCCAGGGACTGAGAGATGGAAGCAGTGACAGGCAGAGAGACTCTGGGAGAGGCAGAGGTAGTGGAACTGAGAGATGGAGAGACCCGAGGGTGGGAGTCACATGCTGGAGAGAGGCAGGTACCCTGTCACTGCATCAAGCCTGGGGGGGGGGTGACAGGCAAAGGGACAAACCCTTGCCCTACCCTTGAGAGGCATTTAGGGTAGTGGGAGAAGCAAGGAAAAGCAACTTTACCCCAGGGAGACTGAGTAGAGACCACCAGAGACCCGTGTGACCCAGGGCAGGCCTTGGTTTCTGAAGGAGAAATGAGTGAAATGCTGTGGGGAGTCAGAGGCACAGAGATGAGAGATGAGAGATGCTGAGCCTGGAGGAGAGGAGCTCAGAGTCCTGGTCTCAGGAGGAAGGGCAGGGCCTGAACTCCTGGGTCCGAGGCAGGAGGGAGTTAAGGGATCAAACCCCCACTGTTGAGGGAGAAGAGTACCCTCAAGTTACCTGAACTCATGAATCCTAGGGAAGGAAGGGGATGGTACCAGAGTCCAGCCCTGGAGATAAGGAGGTACCTCTTAGTTCTGAGGGAAGAGAGGCTGGGGCCTGGACCCCTGGGCCTGAGGGGGAGGGGCTCATTCTGGAAGGCTCTCCTACTGATGCTTGTACTAAGAGCTCCATCCCACTACCATAGGTACCCAGGCTGAGGTGCGCTTATCTGTGCCCCCTCTGGTGGAGGTGATGAAAGGGGACTCGGTCACCCTGGACTGTACCCTCTTGGAGGCCCTTGACCGTTTTGTGCTGGAATGGTTCCTGGTGAGTGCTGTAGGCTGGTGATCTGTGGGTGCAGAGAAGGGCCTAGAAGTCAGGACTCAGACAGGTTACAAACACCCATTCCCTCACCACAGCCCCAAGGATCCTAAAGGCTCTGCCAAGCTGCCTTTCCACTTGACAGAAGGGGAAACTGAGGCCTAGCCAGGGCAAGGGACTTTAAAGAGGGTATCTGAAGTCCAGGCATAGCATGCAGAAACCCGCCTTAGAAGGCTTGCTGGCTCCTGAGAGAGAACTTGCAGAGAGACACCCAGAAAGCCAGAGACCCAGGGCAGGACTGAAGCGGAATAAGAAGCAAAGAGAATAACAGACAGGAGAGGAAGTAACATGGCGATGAGGATGAGGATGAGGATGATGGGGGGGGCGGTAGGAGGGCAGAGGGCCCAGAGCGAGAGCTCACAAAGAGGAAAGAGGGACACTGAGGAGGATGGGTGGGCAGTCAAGCTGACTCTCCCCCCACAGCCTGACCCTTCTGGGGTCCGCCACCTGCTGGCGTCGGCCGAGTGGCAGGGTTCCCAGTTCCACAACAAGGTGCAAGACTCCAGGGGCCGCAGCACCCCCTACCTGTTGGACTCCCAAGGGCGCCTGGTGCTGACCGAGGCCCAGGTGGGCGACGAGCGGGACTATGTGTGCGTGGTGAGGGCGGGGGCCGCGGGCACCGCGGAGGCCACCGTGAGGCTCCATGTGTTCGGTGAGTGTCCCGACCCCCCCTCCATGAAGGGGCGGGCAGGTGAGAGCCCAGAGAAGGGGCTCCCAACAGTGGCGTCTCTCCCACAGCCATACCAGAGGCCACCGAGGTCGCCCCCAACAAAGGAACACTGTCTGTGATGGATGACTTTGCCCAGGAGGTATATGGGGGCCCGGCCAAACTCCCAGGTTCAGTGGGAGGGGAGAGCGGGGGGTTTCTGGACACCAACGTCGTGAAGGAGGAGGAGCAGGGGTGCCAGACAGGTGTATCTGAGTGGGGAGAAGTCCTAAAGGAAGAGGGGGCCAACTCAGCACCCAGTCCCCCACAGATCGCCACCTGCACCAGCCTCAATGGGAACCCAGTCCCCCAGATCACATGGTATCGGAATGGGCAGCTTCTGGAGGTGCCTATGGAGGTGAAGTCAGGTGAGCAGCGGGGGTGCCCAGCTGGACGAGGTGGGGGGCCGAGAGGTGGGGAGACAGGCTGACGCCCTTCCTGTTCTCCCAGAGGGCTACACAACCAGCCGCACTGTGCGGGAGGCCTCGGGGCTGCAGTCCCTCACCAGCACCCTCTACCTGCGGCTCCACAAGGCCGACCGGGACTCCAGCTTCCACTGCTCCGCTCACTACAAGCTGCCCAACGGCCGCCAAGGCCACCTGGAGAGCCCCCACTTCCACCTCACCCTGCACTGTGAGTCCATGCCTGCCCTGACCTCCTGACCTTGGACCCCACAACTCTCTGAGGCCTGACCCTCCAGGCCCACCCCGTATGGTTCATACTCCTCTCCGTCCACTACTCCACCCGCCATGGGCCATGCTGGCTGGCTGCCAACCTCTGGTCTCCAACCTCAGCTAGGGGCACGAGCCCCTCCTGACTTCTGACCCCCGTCATTGCACCCTGAATCCAAGGATATTCACCTCGTACTAAATTGGGTCCACATCTCACACTGACCTGTCACCCACCCTGACCTCTCATCCTTGACCTGTATGTTGAGCTTATCTCAACCTCTGACTTCCGGTTCACTCTCAGAATAATTGTGAACCTGAGCCACAAAACCTATGACCTCTAACCTGTGACCTCTCGCCCTTAATCCAGCCCCGTCTTTTACGCGTGACTTGCCCTGTCCTTGACCCTCATTGTGAGTCGCCCTGACTCGCCCCTTCCACCCGTCCCTTAGATCCCACGGAGCACGTGCAGTTCTGGGTGGGCAGCCCGGCCACCACAGAGGGCTGGGTGCGCGAGGGGGACCCTGTCCAGCTGTTCTGCCGGGGGGACGGCAGCCCCAGTCTGGAGTACACGTTTTTCCGCCTTCAGGTGACCTACCTCCCAGTCCCTGACTCTGTGACAGCCACACCTGCACTGACTGGCCACGTTTGACCTGGGTGGCCCCTGGCTTAGTCGGGCAAAAGATGAGGGACCAAGGAGCGTGATAACGGCCTCTCTGAGCCCGGGTTTGAGGGAGTCCTGACTTAGCCTAGTACCTGACTGGGGGGACCCCTGACAAACAGGGCCTCTGACCCCTTCCTCGAGTGGACTTTGACCCAGTGTGACACTAACCTGGTGCCCACCGACCTACCAAGATGCCCGCTCTCACCCCTGCCCTCCTGACTCCCCCACCGCCACACTCGGGTGGCTCCTGAACCGGGTTCCTCATCCCTGGTCACCCAGGACAAGCAGGAGAACGTGCTGAAAACAAATTTTGAGGGGAACTTGACCCTGGAGGGGGTGCAGCGGAGCCAGAGCGGGACCTACGGCTGCAGGGTGGAGGACTACGACGCGGCGGAGGACGCGGAGCTCTCCCAGACCCTGGAGCTGCGTGTGGCCTGTGAGAGCCCCGGCGACGGGGCAAGACCCTGGCGCCAGCTGCTTCCTCACCCGACCCCACAGCCTTTCGGCGGCCCTGTCCCCCCAGATATTCTGCCTCTGACCCTCTCTCTACACCCTGGCCTTGGGTCCTGATGTTCCTCTCATGTCCCCAGGTTCCTACCCCAGCCCCCTCCAGTATCCCCACAAGGCAGCCAGGGGGCTTCTTTCTGAAACCCAAACTTGACATTTCCCTGCTCAGAACCTGCTGTGGCTCCCTAGTACCATCCAGAGAAAGCCCATGTGACTCACTGCAGCCCGGCTGGCTTCACCTTTGGCTGACCTTTCTCCCCGCCAACACATTCCTCTCATCACACCCCAAGCTTCCCTCCTCATTCCTACCTTAACTACCCGTCTTCTCCACCAAGCTCCTGCCTCCCACTCTTCTAAGAAGCTTCTCAGTGCCCTTGTCTCTCCTCCCCCAGCCCTGGGCAAAGACTGTTCTTCCTCCGCCCTCCTCACACCTTCATTCCTGGAGTCAGCCCCTGTGCCAGATGTGGGGACACATCCATGAACGAGACACCCCAGTCCCCACTTGCACAGAGTTCTCGGTCCAGTGGGGAGACAGATGGCAAAAGCTGAAGAAGACACGTTGAGGCACCAACACAGAGATGGGATAAGGAACTGGCCAGACAAGCAGAGATTATTCTAGACGGGGGTGTTGCAGGCTGCATCCCCAGGAGATCAGCAGACAGAAAGTTTAGCAGGAGTTTGTGGGACCCACATCTGTTAAGGGGTCAGAGAGGTAAAGGTAAGGAGGCAGGATTGGGCAAAGGGAGAAGCAGGGTTGCAGCCTAAACAAGACTGGAGGTCCTCCCCAACACACACACACACACACACACACACACACACACACACGACTCTTGGGGCAGGGGCGGCAGGCTGTTACACCCCCACATCAACTAGCATAGGATGTGGGCCGCCTGGGGAAGGGGACATGACCTTGAGCGAGGGGTTCTCTGCAGCTGAGGCAGTTCCCAGAGAAAGCTGACAGCTGAGGGCCACAGCTGACACTCTTCTCAACAGCTGGGGAGAAAATCCTTCAGCAGTGAAGGGGAGCACTGAAGGGGGACAGAGAGGCCTCTGAGAAGAGGACATTTGAGTAGGAAACCAAAGAATGGAATTAGAGATGCAAGGAGCCAGAAGAACATTCCAAGCAGAGGGAACAGCAGGTGCAAAGACCCTGAGGCAGGACTCACATGTAGGCAGATGGGAGTAAAATGGCAAGAGAGCAGGGTAGCTGCAGCTCAGGGCCATGGGTTGGTGGGAGGTTGGGTCAAAGAAAATGAGCAGGATCTTAAAAAGACCAGGGAGGTTCTTTTGTCTTCCTCCACAAACTTGGCCTTGAGCCCAAGAGTGCTGGATTTTCAGATAGAGAAGAGGGCCAGCCAGTGTGTCTTGAAGGCTGGCTGTTCAGCAAGGAGAGGGCGAGTCCAGTCCAGCAAGGAGACCAGCGCCTTGTGACTACAGTGTTAAGGCAGGCGGACCTGGGGCTCAGAGATGGAAAGAACTGGGAGGACCCATTAAGTGGCCCGCAGAGCTGATCAAGACTTGGTGAAAGAATCAGTGTGAGGAGCGACAGGGGGTCGGGCGTGAGCGAAGGGCTTGGGTGGTAATCCAGGGAGGAACACCTCACGCCTCCAGAGTTTTCCGTTAACCTTGGGCCCAGACCTCAGCTCTGGAGGTAATGGGCCACGTCAGGCACGAGTTCTGGAGTTAGGTTTGGGCTGCAGCTTTGGCCTGGCGAGTCCGCAGAGATGGGGGAGTCTGAAGGAATACACAGTGCTCTCTGCTTACTCGGGCCCTTCACGTCTGCACCCCCAACAGCCCTGGAGAGCCCCTGAGGAGCGGGTGGGTGAGGGTCCGGGGAAGGTGACAGTCTGTACCCCCCTCCAGACCTGGACCCCTTGGAGCTCAGCACCGGGGAGGAGCTTTTTTTGCCCCTGGGCAGCAATACTACTGCCAACTGCTCTGTTCGAGGACTGCCTGCTCCTGCCCTCCGCTGGACCAAGGTGAGAGGGACAGAAGCCCCCCAGCCCTGGGACACTGCCCTTCCAGCCCCTCTCCCTTCTCTCACGCGGCCCTGGCCGCCTCTTCCTCTCCCGTCTCCAGGACTCGGTACCCCTGGAGGACGGCCCCACACTCTCACTCAACAGCATCACCTTCGACTCCGCGGGCACCTACATATGTGAGGCCTCCATGCCCACAGTGCCCCTCCTCAGCCGCACCCGGGGCGTCAAGCTGCTGGTCCAAGGTTTGGCAGTGGGGGCACCCTTGGGTGGGCACAGTGGCTGTGGGGGCCGGACAGGGGATGGGCTCATGGCCAGTCCCTTGCCCTCTCCCCCCTTTCCCCTCCCTTCCCCCCTGGGGTGCCTCAGCTCAGTCCCTTCCCATCTCCCACCACAGGACCCCCGGAGCTGAGGCAGGAGGAGACTCAGCCCCAGGCGGAGGGCAGCTGGAGGGAAGGAGATGAAGTCACGCTGATCTGCTCTGCTCGAGGCTACCCAGAACCCAAACTCACCTGGAGCTCTTCGTATGACCGTGTAAGGAACCCCCCACCCTACACCCTCACCCCCAGTCCTTGTTCCCCTGTGCCTGGCCTGACCTGAGCCTCCACAGTCAGCAGAACCAGCCCCTGGGGGCCAGGGCTGGGTGAGCAGCTCCCTGACCCTGAAGGTGACCAGTGCCCTGAGCCGAGAAGGTGTGTCCTGCACGGCCTCCAACCCCTATGGGAACGCTCGGCACGTCTTCCACTTCGGCACTGGTGAGTGTGCAGTGTGGGACAGGAGCCGGCATGGGGCGGTCAGGGGGTGCCAGCTGACCGTGTCCTCTGTTCTGCCCCTGCAGTGACCCCCCAGGCTGCCCAGGCCGGAGTGGCCGTCTTAGCCGTGGCCGTCAGCGTGGGCCTCCTGCTGCTTGTCATTGCTGCCTTCTACTGCATGAGACGCAAGGGGCGCCCTGGATGCTGCCGGAGCGGGGAGAAGGGGGCTCCGTGAGTGGCCCTAACCAATTCCAACATTACCGCAGCTCCACCGCCAATGAGATGTAATCCCATCTCCAGCTCCTCCCCACTACAACCCCAAACCACCCCATCACCAACTCCAAACCCAACTTAGCCTGTCTCGTCCTCACCCCCATCCCCAGTGCCAACTGCAAACCCAGTTCATCACAGCCATCCTCAAGCCCACCTGCATTTAACCTCCCAGGCACCAAACCCAACTAAGAGCCCTCATCTCCTTCCCATGCCTAACTCCAGATCTTTCCAGGCCCAACCCCATCCGCGGGCCCCACCCAACAACCCCCCCCCACCCGTGACACCAATCCACAGCCACACCAAAGCTATCCCCAACCGTTCCCAGCAGCCACTGCAAGGCCTCTTCTACCCTAACCCTAATACCATTACCACTCCCTCCCCATCCACAAGCCCTTCCCACCCACCCCTAGCCCACCCCCACCCAGCGGACCCACTTCCAGTTCCTCCCCCTGCCTAGACCACCTCCAACCCAGCCTCCTCCCACTCCAGGCCACCTGGGGAGCCAGAGCTGAGCCGCGCAGGGTCAGAGCGACCAGAACAGACTGGCCTTCTTATGGGAGGCGCCTCTGGAGGAGCCAAGCGGGGCAGTGGGGGCTTCGGAGACGAGGTGGGTGGGGGCCTGAGCTCCCTGGTGAGAGTGGACCTGCAGTGTGTTGTGGGGGGAGGGTTGGAACAGCCACCAAAGAGGGGCACAGGCTGACCGCTCCCTCCTCTCCCTAGTGCTGAGCCCTGGGGACTCCTAGAAGCCTCACTGGACCTGGAGTTGCAGGCACCAAGAACCAACCCTGCTCAAGCCTCTTCCCGCCCCCTCCTTCCCATCCTTCCGCCTTCCCTCTCAGTCTCAGTCGGCCCTCCCTTCCTTCCTCTGCTGGCTGGGGACCTCTCCAGCGCCTGCCTGCCTGCCTGCCTGCCTGCCTGCCTGCCTGCCTGCAGGGAGGGAGAGAGGGTGGTGGGAGGGGACCTTCCTCCTGGGAATGTGACTCTCCCAGGCCCCAGAATAGCTCCTGGACACAAGCCCAGGGCGGGGCCTGGGACAAGGCTGAGGGTCGGCCACTGGCTATTTTTACCTCCAGCCTCCATTGCTGTCCCCCACCTGACGTCCTACGGCATAGTCTTGACACTGGATCCCCACCCCCACCCCCTCATCTGTGGACACTGGAGTCTGGAATAAATGCTGTCTGTCACCTCGACACCATCCTGTGGCCAGAGCCTCCTCTGGGAATGAGAAGGGAAGGGGGTGCAGGTGATCATTCCCCCCACCCACCCGCAGCTGCCCCTCCCACCCCTTGCTAGACCTCAGGAGAAGTCTGATGTCATGGAGGAAGAAGTGAGAGCAGAGGGTGAGTCAGCTGGCCAAGGGTGGAGGAGAGCAATTTGGGGGTCCAGCGAGCACTGAGCTCAGCTTCTAATGACCAGTGCCTGCTTGGGAGGTGGGGTGCTGTCCCCTTAAGGAAAAGTTTCCAGTCTCTCTTGCCACCCAGAGCCCCAGAGGGAGTTGAAGCTGGAGAGGGGCTGTACTTTGGATGGAATTTGGGAGGAGGATGGAGCTGCTGCCCCTGGAGCAGCCTGGGGAAGGAAGGGCCCAGATGGTGGGGCTGGGGGCAGAGGGCAGAGGCAGCAACAGCAGAGGCCAGCTAAGGAGACTTACTCAGGGGAGGGAGAGGAGCTTCAAGGTAGATGGCAGGACTTAGGGGGAGGTGGGAGGGGTGGACTGGGGAATGGGAGATAAGAGAGAGCCTTAGGGTCAGTGCAATTACACTTGGAACTGAAGAGAAAAACTGTTGAGGACAGCAGCTGTGGTGGGAGAGTGGTGAGAGGTGGGCAGTGTGACCTTGTGACCTTGGCCAAGTCAGCTCCCTGAGCTCATCAGATGCAGGTAAATCACACTTGGGGCTACTCTGAGGAGTTCAGGGGCCGCTAATCTGCAGCGACTTCTCCTCCTTGCCCACAGTTTGCTCAGCCACAAAATGGACAGAGTGGAATCTGTCGATGGGAAATTGGCAAGTGGCTGTGGGAAACCTCCTGGTAGGTTACAGAGATGATTGGCCGGACTCCCTGGAGCAGAATAGCTCACTGACCCAATCAAGACTCTTAAATGTTGTGGTTTATTGAGTCCATTTAAAACAAAGATGAGAAGCAAGTGAAAAGAGATGGAACAGGCTAATATAATTGGGGCACAAACAATCAGAAGTCCTGGCACCTGAGTTCTAGGGTACACCTGCTCCATGTCCCATCTTTCACCAGGGTGTGGCTTTGATGCCTAGATTGGAAAGTAAACCGGGGGTTGGCACCCAGAAGGGTCCAGGGCCACGCAGGGGCAAATGCACCTGGCCATGACTGACTAACTGGCAGCCACAGGTTTTATCTGCGTGACTTGGTGTAGGAGTTAGGGTACACAGCAGGAATTCCCAAGAAGAAGCATCCTAAGGATGCAGCAATATTTGGGACCTAACCCATTATTCCCATATATGTTCAGTTTATATTCTTTTTTTTTTAATTTAAAGATTTATTTATTTATGCATACAAGAACTGGGATACAGACCAGAGGTGTGAGGGTTGAGAGGACTCACCAGGGCCAAAGTGGGGAGTAGAACAAGTGAATCCATTGAAACCCACTGCTGAGAGGAGCAACGGGGAGACAGGAGAGGTCTGCTGCGCCCTGTGGGTCACTCCCTGGCTGGGGATTGAACTTATGCTGCAGTGGCTGTGGACAGCCTCACAGTGCTGTGCTGTAATTCATTGTACCACCAGGGAGGGCCCTCTGAAGATTTATTTATTGCAGACCAAGAGCTGGGGTACTGGCCAAAGGTGCAGGGGGAGGGTATTCACCAGAGACAGAGCAATCCATCCCTGCTGAGGGGAGCAGCCAGCAGGTGAGGCAGGAGAGGTCTGCTGCACCTTGTGGGGCAGCTCCGTGGCAGACTTAACCCCTTGCTCCACCAGGGAGGCCTCTCAATTCACATTGTTAATCTAACAGGACTCATGAGTTACTTGTTAAAATCCACCCTGAGACCGGTGATTTGGTGATGGGAAACCCGCGGGGATTACAATCGAGATGGAAAAAAAAATGTGCAAAATGATGTAAAAATAAACTTTGTAATAAAAAAAAAATCCATCCTGAGACCTCCTTGGTGGTGCAAAGGGTAAGGACACAGCATTGCAAGCTAGCTGCAGCCTCTTCAGTGTGAGTTCCATCCCCAGCCCCGGAGCTGACCCACATGCTGACCCACATGAGCAGCAGACCTCTCCTGACCCACCCATTGCTCCCCACAGCAGTGTACTTCATCGATCTGCCTGTTCTGCTCTCTGCTTTGTCTCTGGTGAAGCCCCGGCACCTCTAGCTTGTACCCCAGTTCTGTATGCATAAAAATAAATATTTTTTTTAAAAATCCACCCTTTGCGTCATCTGTCTTGTGTGGCATTCTTGTTTACTAAATGGCATAACTGAAGGCTCTTGAATATCTTCAGACAGACAGCAGCTGACAAAAATGGAAGATCATAGGGCAACTGGGCAATTTTTTTTTTTTTAGCAAAGAAAATATTTTGGTTTATTTCCTCTAAGAATTTTTTAAATAATATAATAGTTTATTTTTACATCACTTTGTGCATTTTTTCCATCTCAGCTGTAATCCCCTTGGGCTTCCCATCTCCAAATCATCCTTGTGCCATCACCACAGTCCAGTGCATTTCCCTCCCCCCACTGTTTTTGATCCCATTCACCACTCCACCCCCATAAAATGTCTCTGGTATATAGCTGTTCATTATTATTTTCTCACCTGGTCCGTTATACTGCTATGAGTGAAACCACCTGGTATTTTTCCTTTTCTTTCTGGGCAACTGGGAGAATTTTGATGAGATAACTATGGAAAGTGTTCAGTACAAAGTCAGGCACAAAGTATGTGTTCTGTTCATGATAATATTAATGGCGATGATAATGATGGTCCAAGGAAAATGGAGAAACAAAAAAGGGAGAAAGGGCCCCTTGGTCCAGTGAATGGATCAGGTGGAGAGATACCACTGTAAGGGCAGATATTAGTGAGGGGGAATCTGAGGAGCTGGAGGAACAGATGGATAGGAGAGGTAGGAGAGGGGACCCTAGGGAGGAAGGGGTTTCTACCCAGCACCTGGTCCCCAAGTTAATGGGGGAGGGTCCTGGATTTCCTCCCAGGAGGGCATCATTTGCATAAGATCTCTCCGAAGCAAGGCATCCCAGACAATTTGCATACAGATGGCAGCCTGAGCCCTCCTCATCTGACCCCCCCTCCCATCTTGGCCAAGAGTCTAGGGAAAGGAAAAAGAGGGAAGGGGGAATCTCAGGAATTGGAGCTCCAGGAAGTAAAGACAAAATTTAAATAGGTCACCCCTCCCCTGGCTTGTCCACCTTCCGGCTCTACTTGAGCCACCTTTTACCTTTTACCAGGTATTCAGGTTCTTCCAAAATGTTGCCCCCTCCTTCACCGAGCCCCCGCCTTGTGCCTTTGTGACTTGACTATTCCCCTCATCTGAAATGATCTTCCCCGTTGCTCCCATTGCAGTTAGCTTGCCTGTCCTTTAAAGCCTGGACAGCTTGAAGAGTTCTGAAATGTTTCCACTTCCTTCCCTTACCTTGTCCTTGTAACTTTACAGAATCCATACCTCTTGTGGACACACAGGTTTTGTTTATTCATAATGCCAGGTTTGGTTGCAAATGACGCAAATAAAAAATGGTCAAAAATGTGTGTCTATGTAAAGGAAAATTATCCATCCGCATAATCAGGAAATTCAAAGATTGACTACCTTCTGGCATGGCTGGATCCAGGAGCTCAAAAAAATTTCCTGTTTCTCAACTCTACTGCTTCCCATGGGAGGCAGAGTCTTTTTATCTCAGGAGCCACCTGAAGTGCCAGATTTCTACACAAGAAGGTGTTCTTTCCTATTAGTTCTAACCAAAGTCTCAAGGCTAATTCTTGTGGGTAGCAAATGAGTCACACATCCATCCCTGTGCCAGGGGGTGAAATTCTCTGATTGGTCTGCACTGGATCAGGCTCACTCTCAACCCATATAAGGAAAGGGTGTGGAGGGTCTTTCACAGGAAAATGGGAGGGGGACTCCTAGGAGAAGGGAAGGAGGTGGCTGGGCAAGTTAAACATTTGGCATCGACTCCAACAGGTAACCTTTGGCACTGTGCCCCTGTCTCCTAGCAGTCAAGTGCCAGCTTTGGGACTCCTTCACGGTGGAAGTCAACTTCCCAGGAAGGGACCCACCCAGTCTTGTCAACACATGGCAGTGCCCAGCCTTAAGCTAGTCCCCTCCTGCATCTGAAAATGGGAGGTGTTGGGAGAGGCACAAAACTCAGTTCCTGGACATTTCCTCTGATTTCACCCCTGCCCACAAAGGACTGCCAGGAGAGTTAAGCCCACTCATTATCAGGCCAGGGGAAAAGTGTGTTCTAGGAGGAAGTCTCCCTGGAAACTGGTTATTTTGATGAAGGAGAAAATGGGGGGATCAGAATTTTACAAAGCAAGTTAGTAGCAAAGACAGCACTAAAACGCAACTATCCTGGCTTTTAGTCTGACCTCAGATTGGGGAGAGAAGGACAAAGAAATCCAGAACACATCTATTATTTAACTATTTGTCCTGCAGCCTCAGACCAGGCTTGTGCCAAGTCCGAAATACACTTATCTAGAGGTAGAGAGCGAGGCTGGGGAGCACAGGCTGTGTGGATTCAAATCCCAGCCTGCTACTTCTTTGCTGGATAACTTGGGGCATAGATTCTGTGTTCAGTGGCATGGGGATCACGAGTGAGTCCCCTCTGTGGGATTCTTAATTAAAACAAGTCAGACATTCTGGATCTACCATTTTGGAACTGCATCTTTGAGTCAAATCATATCAATTCTCTATGCCTCAGTTTCCTCATCATGTAGGGTGCTGTGTGGATTGAGTTAACACTGACAGTGCCCTCAGTTCCATATCTGGCTAACTACTTTAATAGTATTTTTCCCAAGACATGATGCGACCAATAAGTCCCCACCTCTGGGGGGAAAAGTTCAGTATGTTTAGGTGGGAAGGGAGAGCAGGCCTGGGGGTTCCTCTGGCTAGGGTGAGAGGCTCCCCCGTGGCTGCTGCTCCTCCCCCTCTCAGATCAGCTCACAGCCTCCCGGCCCCCGTAGCGAGGGATTTCAGAGGCTCACTGGCATCCCCTCCCTAGGCCTCCTCCAGCTTCCCGCCCTCTCCAGGACTTGCTAGGCGACCTCACCACCAGCTCCCCCGGGCAGCCCAAGAATGTGAAGAGGTAGGTGGGGGCGGGGAGGAGCAGGAGCCGCTGGGGAGAGACAAAGGGGCCGAGTCAGAGCTAGAGACACAAAGACGCTAGGAGGCTGGAAAGATAGAAGTGGGACAAGGACACGGGGCGGGCCCAGCGAAGTCTGGAGGCCCGACCCTAGCCCAGCCCCGCAGGGCCGGCGGAGCGCGGGGCCGGCCTGTGCTGCCCCCTGGCGGGCCGCGGTGGTAACTGGTGGTGCGGGCCCGAGGTAGAGAAGGCAGGTGGCTGGCTGCAAGCGGGGAGCCACGTAGAAATAGGCAGGACGAGAGAAACCAGAGACACTGAAAGAGAGACAGAGAGGCACAGAGACAAAGGGACAGCCAGAGAGGCACTGAAAGTGGCGGGGAGACATGGTGACCCGGTGACACAAAAACAGGGGTAGAAAGACCGAGGCCGGAAAGACAAAGCGTCACCGAAACGTGAGGACCGAAAGACCCAGAGATAAAGACAGGGACCGAGAAGACGCAGAGGTAGTGGAGAGACACTAAGAGAAACAGAGAAGGCACTTCGTCTCTCGAAGGAAACGATGCGGCGACTCCCAGAGTCCGAGGCAGAGAGTGGAGGAGGTCGTGCCGAGGTGTCCACAGATGTGGGGCAGACCCGGGACCCGGGATTAGAACCCTGGAGGTGGGGAGACGAGGACGGGGGTGGGGCATGGGGGCGGGGCTCCATCAGGGGCGGGCCTGGAGAGCCCACGTGCCTCACGCAGGTGAGACGAGAGGCTGCTGCTGAGGTGGGCGGGGCTAGAGCTGTGGGCGGGGCCGAGACGAGCCAGGCTGAGCTCCGGGGAAGAGGAGCAACGGCAACCGGAAAAAGCGCGGAGCAAGCGGGGCCGTCGTGTGGGCGTGGCTTCACTGGGCCCGCACGGCCTGCCACTCCAGGGGGTGTGGCAGGACCTTGAGCCGCCGGTAGACCGAGGGTGGGGCGCGGGGCTGGACCTCCTCGAGGAGAAGGGGCGTGGTCTTAGAGCGAGGGGCGGGGCTTGCATACCAGGGGGGCGCGGAGTGAGCGTCCTGGGGGTGGGGCGAGCGGGGAATCTTGGGCCGAGGCAGGTGTAGCGCCCTGGAAGGGGCGGGTGCAGATTGCGAGGGAAGGGCGGCCGTAGAATCCTGGGGATGGACTGGCGTGGAGTCCCGGGAGAGGGCGGGCTCAGAACTGCTCGAGGGGGCGGGGCCGGAGCCTAGGGTCGGCTGGGCTGGGGGGAGGGAAGGGGGGGGTCCTGTGACGTCAGCGAGTCCGAACTGCCAGAACCCGAAGAGGGGCCGGGGGCGCGGAGCCTGGGGAGCCGGGCCCCGAAAGCAAAGCCGGGAGAGCGGACTGAGGCGGGAACTGGCCGGCAGCCCGTGCCCCTCAGACACCTGCTCGCCCGCCCAGCCCATCGGCGCCCGCAGAGTGGCCCTCGGGCCCCCACCCGGGCCCAGTCCCGCCCCGGGCCCCCCATGGCCCGGGCCGCAGTTCTCCCGCTGTCCAGGTCGTCGCCGACGCTGCCGCTGCTGCCGTTGCTGCTTCTGCTGCTCCGAGAAACCGGTGAGAGACCGCAGACGCCCCCCACTCCAACGCGCGGACCCAACCCTGTGAGTGGGGGAAGCCCGAGTACCTTCCCCCATTCTGGTCCCTATCCACCCCCCCCCTTTCTCGCGCCCCCTTCCTGCCTGGCCCCACCGTCTCCGACCCACACACACCCCATTCTCTCTCTCTGACTCCGACCTTCTCACTGCATCCCTTTCACCCCCACACCCTTCTTAATTACAACTCCCCATCCTACGCCGGACTTCTCTGTTACCCCCTTCCCCCTTCCTCAGAAGCTCTCGCCGAAAGGGTTAACCCCAAAGCCTGGCGCCCCTTCCCCACCCCCGGCCAATCAATTAACGCGGATCTGGGTTTCCGTCTCCGCTTAACCCCTCTGGAATAAGAGGAATGCCTCGCCCCCCTCCCCACCCCACCCCCTCCCAGCGGGAGGGTCGCGACGTTGAGGCGAGACCACCCCCCACTTTTCCTTCTCCGGGGGTTGGGTATCTGAGGCAACGGAATAATTGAGGGCCGGAGGCAGATGTCGAGGCTGCGGGGTGGAGAGCTCGGACTTTGGGGCTTTTGGAAGGCCGAGGGTGAGAGTTCCTGCGGACCGGGTCAGGGCCTCGGGGAGCTGAAGGGGTCTCACTGCTGGGTCCTAGACGGCAAAAGGCTGAGGTCTGACTCCAGGGTTACAGAAAAATTAGGGGGTGGGGGTCTAAGTGTAGTGGGTCTTTGGCGGAATTGAGAGCAGGAGGGGTCCAAACTTGTGGGTTACAGATTGTGAACTCTGTCTCCTGGGTCCCAGGTAGAACGGATGAGAGGGCGAGAGGCCCTACGTGGTGGGCTTCAGATTTAATTGTGGCCTCTGGAATGTCTTCCGAGATCCATATATAAATGTGAGCAGGAGATTCTGCCTCCTGGCTTCTAGATATAATCGAGAGCGGGAGGCTTAGTTAGTTGGTTGTGCTCCAGGTAGAATGGGAGGTCGAGTCCCACAGACTGGGTGGGACAGTACCCCTTGCTTGTGGGCGGTGGGTAGGGACGTCCCTGGGGAAGTTTTCCCGGTTTCACTTTCGGCGAGCCCGGCAGGGGCGGGGCGGGCGCTTTCGCGACTCCAGGTTCACGACTCCAGGTTCGGGACCGCTGGGCCGCGGGCTTTCGGCACCTTATCTCGCCTCTTCTCGCGCCTTTGTCCTCCCAGCCTCTGCGGGTGGTGGAAGGGAGGAGACACCGCCCTAGTCCCCCGCCCCTCCTTCTGTGCTGTCCACTCCCCCCCTCCAGTTTCTCCCAACCCTCTAAGGGGAGGGGCACAGCCCTCGAGGGAGGGAGGGGTGGGAGGAAGCAGGTGGAGGCTATGGCCCCGCCCCTTACAGGTGACCTGATGTTTATTCCTATCTGCAAACTAAGGACACTGGCTTTCCTAAGGGTTTGCTCAAAACCAAGGGGATCTTGAGAGAACTCTGGTCACCCTTTGGCCTCATTTTCCCCAGCATGCTTCTGAGTTGTCTCCCACTTGTCACCCAAAGGTGAGTGGGCCTCTGCCCTTTACTGCCTCTCCCTTCTGTATGAGAGATAAGGAGATGAGGTCAGCTGGTAGAACCTGGCAGCTCTGGGGAAATTGTTCAGAAACCACCTGACTTGAGCCAACTGTGGACTTGGAGCATGATCTCATGGAAGGTTCTCCATGATGCTAAGAGACAGACCCTGTACCCATTTTACAGATGAGGAAACAGGCTTAGGAAGGGCCAGCCACTTCCCAGAGCCCAGTCTGTGCCCTGAAGCCAGACTCCAGACTTGAGCTCCTGGCACTGCTTTACGGGGTGGGAATCTAGAAAGTGCCACTGAGATTCCATTTCCTCTATTGTAAAACTGAAATAACCATCCCTTTCCAGCAGAGCTTTCAGGATGATTCTGAGGTCACACTGACCCCATTCAGAAGCGCTTAGCACCTGGTGGGGAAGACCTTCCTCTTCGCTCACCTTCCACCCCTGTGCGTTGCTCTCTGCTCTCTCACCACTCTCTCTCCTCCCTGCTTCCCTGTCCTCCTCCCTCTTTCCCTCACTCTCCTCCTCTTCCTCTGTATTCATTCCGCATCCTCAGGCTTCTCTAGCTGGCATCTCTCTCTCCATCTCTGCAAGCTTCTTCCCTCCTCGTCTCTCTCCTCTGCATCCTTCTGTATTTTCTGTCTCCAGCCCGTCTGTCTCCCGCTCCTTGGCCACCATGGGGAATGAAGGTGCACCACCTGGACTGACTCACCTCCTAGTACAGGCCCCCCTCCCCTAGCTTTCACTGCTCATCCATGTCAGCCAGGCAGCCCCATGAAAGTGGGGGGTGGGGGAGAAGGAACTGCAGGCTTCCTGGCCTGCCACTGTCTCTTCTTGTTAGGGAAGGGGGACTGGGCAGAGGAAAAGTGGGGATAGGTCTGCTGACATATTGGGGGACACAAGGAGAGAAGAGTGACACAGGTATGGGGACAGAAGGCCAATAGAGGGAATGGAATTAGAAACAGTATTAGGGACAGGGTCACAGACACCAACAGGGAGAAAACTGAAAGGTAGGGGAATGAAACACAGCTATGGGGACGGGACAGAGGTAGAGGGTGGAGAGCTAGGAGGCTGCGAGAGAGAAGCAAGAGCAGCTTCAGAAGAGTGTCTTAGAGGTTCCATGACAGGAAGACCCCAATCATGAGGGAAGCCAGGGAGGTCAAGGCACAGGCCATCCTCAAAGCCAGCAGTGCAGAAGGGAGCAGAGGGGGCTGGCTGAGCCAAGGACTGGTGGAGATAGGAGGGACAGGGGATTGTGCAAGCTGGCCACTCCCCCACTGCTGCCTGGGACACTTACATTTTTAATGCCCCAGCTATGCTGAGAAATGGAACAGGAAGGGCAAGAGAGGAGAGGACCTGGCGAGATGGCCCAGGCAGATAAAGAGTATCTCAAAGATGTGGAGAGAGACAGGCTGAGATGGGGAGATCTAGGAGGCAGGGAGATCCCCAAGCCCTGAGACACAGAGAAACAGATACCCTAAAAGTGTCTGGCTTAAGGGGAAAAGATTCAAGACACCCCAAAAAAGAGTAGAAGCCTTGAGAGATTATAGACCCCAGGAATCAATGCAGATAGCAAGTCCAAAGATTGGACGACCCAGGCCCAGAAAAACAGACCTCACATGTGAAGGCACAAAGAAGGAAAATAGATGAGGGGATGTGGGGTATCTTTTGTTTGTTTGTCTTCATTTTTTCATAGAAGAACCAGAGGATAGGTCAGAGGAGCAGGGGGTGAGAGGATTCACTGAGACTGAATAGAGCAGAACAGGCAGATCTACTGAAATACATTGCTGAAGGGAGCAGCAGGGAGATAGGGGAGGTCTGCTGCGCCCTGTGGGTCACTCCCTGGCTGGGCATCAAACTCAGGCCTTCCATGTGATAACACAGAGACTTAGCCACAGGCCACCAGGGAAGTCCCATGTGGTGTGTCTTCTTGCTAGTGGGATGCTCTGAGATTGTTGTGGGAACGGATGCACAAGTGTGTAAACATGGGAAAGACCTGGAAATGTGTGCTTTAAGAGGGCAATCTGTGTTGTGTGGGGATTGTATTGCTGTAAAACTGTGGGTGGAGGAGGTAGACAGAAGAAGTAACGGACTCTGAGAGACACCAGATACAGGAGAGACTGGGAGACCTGGAAGCTGGAGACAAGCCCCAGATGCAGACAGCTAAGAGACATGCACTTAGCTATAAACATGTGGCTGGGCAGAGTGGTGTATGAGGGGTTTGGCCAAGATCAGTCACTTCCAAAAGTATCCTAGCCCACAGTGGATACCTGCAGTGTGGTCAGAACCCAGGGGAATTTCAGCCCAGGGCGGGGCAGGATCTTCTAGTGCTAAGTGGCCACCACCAGCAGCAAGGTGGCTCAGGGTTGGGGGGGCTAGAAGGCAGGTGCAGAAATCCAGGCTGGTAGGGAGCCCCATATCCTGGTGGTAGTGGTGGCTGCTACTTCACTCCCCAGACTGGCTCCCAGATGTCTGCTGTGGGGGTGGGTACTGTGATTAATGCAATTAATTAACTAATAAGGTATTTGCAGCAGGAGCTGAGGCCAGGCTCAAAGCACTGGGCCTTCTGGGGCCTGCTGGAGTCCCCCACAGCCGCATCCAGGTCATGGTGAGAGGGCAGGCACTGTGTTTTATAGGTCTGGAGGGGGTGGCCAAGCCCTGAGGAGCCAGCCAGGCAGACAATCCCAAGGCTGGACCCTAGCCCCCCCTTCTCTGGGCACCCACAAGTAAGCGTGTACCCTCCTCTCCACCTTGATCTTAGTTCGTCAGACTGTGTCTCTGTTCTCCAAAGCTGCTCCCTGGATTTATGTAGTGTCCTGGACAGCCACCACAGGTGGCTGACAGACCAAGGCCACAGGGAAAAGGAAGTATGTCTGAGGACCCAGCTGACACCTCACAAAGCTGTCACCAGGTTGGCTTGCCCAGAGAAGCTGGAGGAGGCCTGAGTTCCCAGGGCTACACTCCCCCACTGGGGTGCTAGCCATGTCCCTGCCAAGGTCAGGGCACAGGCACCCGCCCAGCAGAGTGCTGGACACTAGGGCCCTAACCCCAGGCCAACCCTCCTGGCTTTGATTCCCCCTGCTACGTGCAACACACATGCAACACGTCCTCCCAGCCAGAACCTGTCAGCCTCTGGCCCAACTGTTCCAGCTCTGAATGTTCTTCTAAGCTGCCTTGCCCTCTATTCCCACAGCCCTTAGCCTGGTCCAGGTGCCTTTTCTTCTTCTTTTTTTTTTTTAAGTTTTATTTATCGATGCATACAGAACTGTGATGCATACAGAACTGGGGTACAGGCCAGAGGTGGTGAGAGGCTTCACCAGAGACAGAGCGGGGAGCAGAACAAGCAAATCTACAAAGTACACTGCTGAGGGGAGCAGCAGGCGGGTCAGGAGAGGTCTCCCGCGCCCTGTGGTCACCTCTGGGGCAGGCGGGGACCGAACTCATGCTGAGGTCGCTTTAGCTTTTCAGTGC